TATGCTCTGTAACTGATGCAACTGATGAGAGAAACTTCCAAGGACCATACAACAGCTTGCACAATGCATCCACCATTACATGTAAATACTAGGGGGCTTCTGACATACAGTGAGTCTGGGCAACTTGTAAACAGTACTGTCACATCTATTATTTCGACTAACTACCTCACTGTGAAAGGAAGACATGTGGTGGCCCTAAGGTGCACTCAAACAGAATTTCTTGATGGGAGTTTTTGGAGGTGTTTCTGAAGAATCCAGGCTGCTAAACAGAATACAACTCCAAACAGTGCCAAGTTTACAATTTAATCAATAGATTTTACTGATACAATGACATCTACATCATATCTACATGTACCTTGCCAAACTGCCTGAGGAGTTGAATGAGGGCGCCTTTACCAAATGGATTCTTGACACTTGCATGAAATGCCAGAGTGGGGTATTCAGCAGACAGGAGGGCAACCCAACGTTTCTGTATCAAAATGTTTCAAGTATGTTGTTAATTTTTTCAAATACCTATGGAAAGGAAAACTTTCAAGTGCATTCAGCGGTTGTGGTATATTGGTCTATCACAAATATTAGTCAATTGAAGACAGATTGTAAGTTCACAACAAAGATTAACAAACAACTGGCCATAACCTACCAAGAGCCAATAATTTCCCACGATCACAGAAAATGGACGGAATTCACGGAATCAACACTTCCACTGCTTGGAATGGAACTTGCAAATTGCCAACAAAGAATGGCTTAAAAAGTAAAGAAATGTTTCTGCAACGTACAACAAATAAATGCCTACCCTTTTAAAGTGCTTGCTTTTCATGAATGAATTATGCTGGAAACATGCTAAATTACACCCCTCCACCACATGATTGGGTCGTCTGTGCCGGTGCCGATACTTGCAAGCGCTATGGCGTGTGTGAACCCCATGCATGCAGCGGCAGCTGGCACAGTGCAGCCGCGCTGTACGGCACACACATTGGCCGTTCACGCATGCACCGTACTAGCAATGAAATCAAGGTGCAAATAAGTTCATACTCACACATATGGTTATTGCACGCGTGGGGAATTCAGTCTGTGAATCCGCACAGACACCTTGAGATAAGGCTAGTGGGAAATCAGGGGTGGGGGATGCCGTATTTGTTGTGTGGATTTTCTTTTTAATTTTCATTACAGAAATTATAAAAAAAGTTAGAAACATTGCAGAGTGTTTCCAAACAAAACTGTTTTTTATTTTTTACTTTGTTTATTTTCTTTTCTTTTTTGGGGGGGTGTATGGTTGGGTGAATGGTTTCCAGGCATAGTTTAAAACTTGTGCTCCTATTTCATGCTTACGAAGGTATGAAACAGAATTTGCATTTCTGAAGCAGAATTTGGGATTTGGCAAAATGGAAAATACCTATTTTAAAATGGAAAATCATTGGCTCTACCTACTAGATGGGTACTGGGTTCTAGGCCCTGCTGTGACCATAATAGGATATTTTATCTCTGCATGAGAGCATTTCAGAATCACCTTAAACATGGTGACAAAGAAGACCATGCACTAGTGCAGGTGATATTGATATTTGAGTAGCTGATTTTTTCATAGCAATATTGCTGATACAAAACTAAAATTGTCCACAAAATGTGCGTGCTAAACTCTCAAGTACTGTAAATATAAGCATATTTATAAACAAAATGACTGAGAAAAAACTTTTTACCAACTCCATGTACCAGCTGAAACAGATGGTTTGTTTTGAATCTTGTGTTACCTGATAAAACTGTGTACAACAGTTTCCTTGAAAATTGGTCACCAATTAGTCACCACACCATTGGCACTGAGAATCACATGAAAACTATCCACTATGACATGCTGTGGAAACACAGGGGTTAGGCTTTTCTACATATCAAACTTAGGCAATTATCCCAATAAAACGAAAGAAAACGTCTAAAATACATTTTTTGGTTCCAATGAAATTTGCTATTTAATATGACGGCCAAACAAATATCCATTGTTTAGCATTCTGTACTACACTACCAAAATGCTATGCATTTCACCCTGGTCATTGCCTATGACAGTGGCGGAAGTGCGTCAGGTCTGAAGGTCAGTAAGACTGCCATATTGAGAATTCATTGTGCACATGACCAATATGGAAAAATACCAATGCAAAATTTTGCGACATTGACTGATACAATCCAATGAAGCAATGAGTGCCGTGTACACAGCATAGGGAAAGAACAGGAAAGTGACCGCTACATTAGCACAGGTCTTCCTACAAGAAGAAAGGATGTGGAGCTTACCGTGACCCATGTAGGCACCAGGTCCACCTTGTTCATTACAAAGACCAAGTGCTTATGGGGTTTCTCTTTCTTCAGGTAAGTCTCCACAAACTTGGATCTGGTACCCATGGGATCCCTAGCATCCAGGACTTGTACTACAATGTCTGATGAGTCAATCACCTGGCCAGAGGAGAATGAAATTTGTTTTTATAAACAGGCTGTTTGACAAACAAAATCCCTGGGATTCTTCTGTCTGTAGTCACTGCCATGTTACCATAGCAATAAAGATGACTTACCAGTGTACTATTCAGATTGCATGATTGGCAGTGTTGCAAACAGTGTCCTACAATCTAACAAAGTAATTCTGGTGTTTGTGACTTTAACTGTCGCTAGCATGATGAACGACCCTTACTCAAAACAGCCAAACAAGACGGTGTTGAAGTAAAAACCATCACAAGGCCAGACACGTGTAACAGGGTGAACAATAACAAAGGAATGCTTTCGTTGCAGTTAATTTGTATAGCTTGTGACTTGAATTCAGGCTTGGGATCTTGTGTTGGTCTTGTGGTGTTTAGTGATGGTCTTGACTGGTCTGGTTCCCTGACCAAAGATTCCCTGATGACTCTTGATCAAATCTTAGGTCAGGTATTACCCATGGATATATATATATAGATCATGACACAACATGTCAAGGGTCACAAGGGAAGTCCTAGGTGGATCCGGCATGTTTAGATGTACATGGCGGCTGTTAATGTTTTGCGGCCATTTTGAAAACATGCAAGAAACTCCAAAAATGCTTGGGAAGGGAGCAACATAGAGTTGCATGTGGGCACCAAGCAAAAGAAAAACACATGTCATTATGCATACAGACACAGCCAGAAATACCTGAACATCAACGATGCCATCCGAATGTGGAAGGGACAAGTTCAGAACATTTCACTATTTTCGGAAAGTGGAAGAATACCCCTGGTACTGGTCACGTGGATATGGGTGATAACGGACCCTTGATTAGAAAAGAATAGTCGGAATCATCATAATATCAAAACCGGACCTCCGGTCTGAATTCAAGTCACACGTTATTCAACTGAACTGCAACAAAAGCAATCTTTGACATTATCTGCCCCGACTTGAAGTGCATCGTCACCAACAAAGAAAAGATAGACTGGTAGGAAGTTTCCAAATGAGCTCGTGCATGCACCTGGCACGCATGCAAAGGCCTTACTTTCTGATATAAATTGGTTGTGCATAGTCAGCATGCCCTGCGCCAAACACACATAAACCTAGCCTGCCCGACCATGTGATGAGTTCCCACCAAAGGATCGTGGCTTCCACGTAATAACATGTCCTCTCTTGTTTCTGCTTGGAAGGTATTCACTCTGTTACTCAGGACTGGTTTTGTGACTGCTCGTGATGGTTTTGACTCCAACACCAAGGTTCTAGTAGCTATACGTGCACTTTACCTTATACAACTCATTCCATATCCTCTTTGACTGCCCTGCTCCAAAGATCCACTCTCTGACCTCTGGCCTGACCCCTTCATTGTCTGTCACAAGGTCTTTGTCTTTCTCCTCATCGTATTTCTCCGCGGAGTCTTCCACAGTTTTGAGAAGATCCTGCAAAAGATGAACAAATGCTAACCTTTAATGTACAGATCCACTGCTATAAATGACATCACCTTGTCACAAACCGTGTTATTATTATCACTGTGCTAATGAATCAGGTACCGTACGCATGTGCATAGGCCTACTCTTGAATCAGTTCTGTATATTTTATGTGACATGTCTTTGATACTGATTACTCAAATCATAACCTGTGATAGCAGTGCTGTTTAGATGGATTCCCATCAAAGGAGAAGATTTTGTTGAGGGGAATATCTCTTTTTGTGTGTGTGCCCATACTTTTCTGCATGACCCTTTTTTGCAAATGTGTTGCACGTGTAAAAAATGCAGGAATAAACTAAGTCTGTGCCAACCAACTTTGACCAGATCAGACAGACGTAACCACTTAAGTACAGCACTGCAAAAACTTACGAACACTGAGTTTTGGGTGACACTGGGTTGACTTACCTGTAAATCTGACACCTTCAGGTTGGGCCTCTTCCTTTGTTTCTTGGGGCCAAATGTTGTTTCAAAGCTTTCTGTGTCCAAAATGTGAACTCTCGAATTCTGCAAGAATAGGAAAGAAATTCAAGGGAAAATTTCAACAAGAAACTGAAATGTATTGCTATTTATCATGTGACCAGCTAACTACATGTGTAGATTGTTACTTGCCCCTTGCGAGTTACTTCCAGATAGTTTCAGTATGAAGTCAATTTTTGTACTCATTAATTTTGATGGGGAACAGGGTGTGCTTCTAATTAGGACAGATACTGTCAACAAGTGGTCAAGTTATTTAACCCTAACACTGCTAAATATTTGTGCAACACTGTATGTTGTTGGATTTTGCGGTGGCAGAGTATACCACACAGCCAGTAAAGGCAGGGGTTGATGCTGTGCATTGTACAATTGCAAATTCTGCACTTTACCAATGCAATTTGGACATTAAATTGGGTTTTCTCATCAGACAGTTATGTTCGATTTTGTTACTTTTAGCAGGATGCCCAAAGAAAACCCAAGGGGAAAGGCTTATAGCTTCCCCCGAAGGTGTTGACGTTAGCACCTGAGAGCTTACAGGTCAGTGGTACAAAGCAAAGAGTGTACATAATGCCACAATGGAAGGAATGGTTGACAGTACCTTGGATTTCTCCTGTAATAGTGTGATAGGCAGTTTAGTTTGTCTCATGACCACTCGGTAGGGATCTTTCAAGACCTTACCCATCTCCTCCTGAAAGGTTTGCAAGGCTGACTGTGTGATCACTCGAGTGTTACCTTTGACAAAAACAACACCAAAACACAATATTCATTCACATTTGAACTCTTAAGACAATACAGTCAACCAAAGCACTACACATGAATGCCTTGTAATGGAAATACAGTTATAATGTTGTCCATGGGTGGACGGGGGATGGGGTGGGGTGGAACAACCCCCACTAATTAGTTCCAGTTGGCATATAGAGCTTCGGTTGACAAATAAATGCAAAATTCGTACATAAACGATATACACTGGCCGTTGGCATTTCCCTATGCAGCATACCACAAGTCACTTTATGAATTTTACACGACACGATGTTGGCAAACAAGTTAGAAATTGGCAAATTGACTCTGACATCCCCCCCCCAAGAAAACGCTTTCCCTATGCCACTGTTAGCAAGAGCCTTTCAGATACAGCACTGAGGAAAGAGTTTCATATACGGATAACACTTGATGCCCGTGCACAAACCTAGAGACTTGTCTGAAAAAATTCAGTGTTTTAAATTCCACTTTAAGGATGTGTTGTCACTTTCTGATGGCAGTTATGACATTTTAAAGGGGATGGGCCACTTAGGGTTAAATCGACGTTATGTGATAGTTTCCAACCGTCTTATAACCCCTCTTTTATGTCATTCAATCAGCAAAGCTTGGCATTTTCGCTGGGCTTTTTTCAGTCTCCACCTGGGCTCTTCGCAAAACTTTATCAAAATCTGCCAATGAGGGCAGCAGCCAAATCTTGGCAAAAATGTGACGTCAGAGGACGGACTCGACTTTTCAGACCAGAATGCACAGTTCCGGCAAGTTTGATCGGCCCAAGGAAGCGACACGCAGTGTGCGGTGAAAAAGAGTTGGAATGGAACACTAACTTTGACGAAGTAGGCTAGCCTATAAAAATGGACAAAAACTACCCCCACAATCACTGGAACACACAACAAAACAACCAAACTGGCAAAAGAGATAAAAGACAAGGAAGGCAATCTAGCCTTCCCAGTATGCAGTAGGCCTTAAAGACAAATCCCAAAGCAATGTCAACCCATTTCGCGTCACCTGGTTTTCCCGCTTGTAAATGATAACACGTGCCTGTTTCACTTTAAAACAAGATTTATCAAACAAACATCAGCGAATACAGCCATCTGCACTAGTAAGCAAGAGGTCGTGGGTTCAATGGTAGGACAATCACGTCTTTCAGAGAGACAAATTTTTATAATGGTGCAGGAAAAATCATTACCAGTCAGTGTTTTTACAAGAATGGATTTGCGCCAGGGACCACCGAGCTTGCCATCCTTCCATCCTTGGAAATAGTTGCTTGCGGTCCCCGCTGCTACATCTGACTCGAGCCAGCCAGCTGACACCGGCAAGGTCGGTGGTCGAGTGGTTAAGCGGTCCTCACTTGTAAGCAAGAGGTCATGGGTTCAAGTCCCAGACATTTTTCGGTAAGCGACGGCTGTTGTTTAGCTTTTGCTCCCAGAAAGGAGTGAAATAGGGTCGTGAAAACTATAATTTTTAACATATTTCCGCGCATTTTGAAATTATGCAGATGTCTTTTCTTATTATATGTATGTTTGGTTTATGTGAAGAAATCTTCCCAAAACGGCCCATCCTCTTTAAGGGAAAATAAGTGATGTCCGTATACGGAACTCTTTACAGCTCTGAATCCCATCACATGCCTAGCAGCTTAAACTAGACCCCTGTCTGTGGCCTTACCAAACCATCTACGGTTAGGCTCCACCCTAGCCACTGACCCGGATGGCAAGCGAGATTGGAACACTGCTGACTTGATGATCTTGCCTGCTGCATTCCTAAAGGCAACAATCATTCATCCAAATTGGTTAACAACTCACAATTACGTTGTAAGATAATATGGTTACTATTCAAAATATAGTATTCTTCAGTGTACAAAAGGCGACATCTCATGATTGAAGTCATTTTCATTTACCTATTTATTTGTTTTCACTAATTAAAAGCATGAGGTTATGTGGTAAGGGTGCACCTTCTAGACCTTTATGTACTTGACGTCATCTCTGTTAGATTTGCATAGTTTCCAACCAGCTAATAACTTGCTGTTTTTACCTTGTAGGTTTGCCTCCTTTGTACATCTTCAGTCGTTTGATTGTTGTCCTGTCACGCATATTGTGGCCTCCAGCTCCCTTGAGCCGATCTGCATGAAATAAACAAAACAATGCATTGCATACATGTATAAGCTTTTGTCTGACAAATGTCAACAAGCAACAACAAGTTATTCAAGTATATTTGTGCAAAAAAATTATATTCTCTGTGTGGATAGCAGAGAAAAGAAAGATAGCAGCCCCCATACAAGTACATTGCAAAAGTTTTTCGTTTTCCTGTGAGACTCTAGAAACAAATTCGGCATTCATCTTCCAAAGTGGCAGGTGTTAAAGTATGATGAAGCCAGTTTTAAACCTTGAACCTTTTAAACCTTAGGTGAGTAATTTTTAATTTGGTGATGCTTTGTTGATGCCACTATGGATACTCAGCGCAATCTTTGAAGTGCGCAAAATTCAAATTTGTACAACTTGCACAATTTTCCATGAGCAATTTTCATTAGGTTGAACATACATGTACTTTAAATCTGTGCAGAAAACACTGAGTGCAATTTCTGAACGTGCACAACTTTTGTGCCTCAAACTGTGCAATTTTCAAAGAGAGTCATGACGGTTAGCATTCAACAGGGCCCAGCAGGTGGCGCAGGGATTCCTACTCCCTTTAATGTCTCCAGCTGTCTGGCACAAGTCAAGCTGAGAAACTGTTGCCTTTTAACAGTAAAGGCTAGGATTCCAGTACAAACTGATAGTTTTGGGAGTCGTTTCAAAATCCATATTTTCCACGATCGTTATTAGGTTTGTCTGGGATCCTATTTTTATTGCAGATATATTTCTAATTAATACATGTATGGCTCTAGGAATTTTCAGAATAAGCCAATTTCTGATTCTGTCACCATGTTGATTTCAGCACCCCGCATAAGTAAGTGAACAAAGCTAGAGGGGAACAAATTGTCTCAAACAATAACAATTGCATGCATCAATGTGCCAAATGTTACGCAACGTTGTCATGAATTTCTTCCCCTCTGTTAAATCTTCTGAGCATGCGCACATGAAACGTGAAAAAGGCTTATTACATGTAAATGTCAACAGGCATGACAGGGGAACTTAATAGCTCTAACAAGGAATTTGTTTTTCAGAGAGAAGCAAAGTCCGAAATAAATATCAACAGGGGAACTTAATTGCTCTTACGTGGCAATATTCATCAAAATGCTTGAATGGCGAAATTTCTTTCATGGCAAAATGTACCATGCCCCAGCCCTGTATGTACATGTACATGCAGCACACACGTCATGCGCAAAACAGGCCAGACAAAATTATGCAAAACATATACAGGGCGGTACCCCCAGAACTGTGGGGTCTGATGTCTGCCCCGCTCCCATGAACCCCGCAGAAAATGAGCCTTATTCGCCATAAGCTCTACATGACATTTAACAGGGCACGAACAGGGATTTTATTCTACATGTAGTTGTGTACCCATAGAAATGATATTTCTCTTTGTTATCGAACGACAGGTGTGCTCATTGAGCTCATTACGCAATGTAGCTTTATGGTCCGATGCATCTAACTATAGTGCATCTTAACAACGCTTTTCATTCTCAGTCGAGCATTCGGACCACGCTCATAGCACCCCCCCCCAAAAGTATAACTTCCCACCCTTGTTGCCTTTGTATTGGGCAATCCTTTTGGCTAAGGCAGGGGGCAGGGAGTGCTCTCGAAAAGAAGGGGTTTTTGGTGGCCTCCGAGTGACAGCAGAAATGCTGTACTGACACCGGCCACCCTGCCACCCCCTCCCCTTTCACTGAAATGAGAATCGAGGAAAACCAGAGTTGATGGACTTAGACTTTTTAGTCTGTTTAATACCTTTATGGTATTGTTTGGAGCAAATGTTTCCGCTTTTTATTTTTGTCATTTTTCCAACAGATTGCTGGTCCTGATACTTGGACTCTTTGTCCGATCCATCGTGCCTACACTACTGCTGTCCGCTAAAGCAGACTCCACCACCGTTTGTCGATAAGAAAATGCCACTCCATTTCCCCCAAAAGTTCTGTGTATGGTAGCTTACATATCTTCCTACTTTGTACCAAGAAAAAACGGGCCAAAGCAATGCTGTTTTCCAAAAAAAGTTACAAATATTTCCCAATCAGTGTCTGAGAGTCATGCGGTTCATGCGTGTAATTGCGAAGACGAGCCGCAACCAGATGGTTGACTACGGCTGTGATCGATACACAAGACATGGAAATTGGCTGAAGCTGCTTTCTGTACATGTATGTGTGTGTAATTCTTAGCCGCGCTGGCTACTTGAAGTGGCAGTTGGCGGTGGCGTGCTGGGGGTCACAGTGACCAATCACAGGGCTCCTCAGTCATTATTTATGCCCGAATGGCAGGAACGACAAGCAACACGCGTTGGGTGCCATCGCCAGTGCACATGAGCATGCTGTCGCACCATAAAACATTTTCTGTTGAAGCCGCACGTGGATGTGGACAAAGATCGTTGCTTAGTCGTACTACTAGTCGTACTCCTGCATCTGACACACAATAAACCAAGCAACCATCACAACAACTCAAGCTTGTGTCGAGCATGTCAATATAACACTTACCATGGAGGTAAGTGTTACGTACAGTGTATGACTGTTGCCTGTGGTTCATGTATCCACGCAATTTTTACTACTGTTTGCAATGTTTGTGGCAACATCTGTGGCTGGGCAAAATTTCAAATGTGCACACTTTCAAAGATTGCGCTCAACTAGAAGTTGTCATTGTACAAGCATGGCAACGTTAGCAGGTTAGATTTGTTGAGTTTAATAAACTTTATCATTTTGAAAATAAAATCTTAGTTTTTGCACCGTAGGCCTACCTGGATTGGAGCTAGAGGCAGATTTACTGATCTTGTCCTTTCGCTTCTGTTTCTTAATTGTTTTCGCCATGTTTAAAGTTGGTGACAGATTAAAGACCAAAGACTGTTCTGCATCCGTCGACAACTCCAACTTAGGACTAGGCCAATTGTGGTAACTTAACTTGTACACGACCACAAAAGATTGCAAAACACGTACATGTACACACGTGCATTGTGAATGTGTTTCGTGCATAATTTTAAGTGGTTCCCTGTGGTCAAGGCCCATATAACGTGAGCTGAGAGCACCAACGAACAGAAATGTTAGCCAGGCTTCTGGACTCTGTCCACGTAAAGCTGATTACTATCGGGAAAAGGATCTGACTATAAGATTTCAAGAAACGAAAATCAAAATATTTTCATGATTTACGTTTCACCTTCAGTAGGCCTAATTTCAAAAATTTGTGTGAAGTCACCATGAAGAGAAAATTCCCCAGATCGAAAGTGAAAGCGATCATCAAAAAGACCCAACCGAATGTTCGTTTGGGTAAAAATGCGGATTTATTGGTAAGCAAACTGGCCAATTTCATTTTCTTTGATTTTAAAAATGTTCAACCATTTGTCAACGTGTACATACATGATGTACGCTCCAACTTAACTTGTATAGCGTCTGTCCCAACTAAAGTTGGGACAGTCCCAACTGTTGTGCTGGTCCAACTTTTGTTGACCAATTTCTATAGAAATTTTCTCAACCTTATGTAAGTTTATGCATCTTACACTGGACATGACTTGACACAATTCATCTTGAATAGTAGGAAATTAAATGGCTAGTCAGCTAGTCTATATCCTTTACCGTCAAGACCGTAAACCATCTGCAACTTCAGAATTCTGGGGAAACTTTCAAACAGTTGTGGACAATATTCATCTCAAGGTGAAGAACTACCAGGGTGTGATTACCGTAGGGGACTTTAATGTGAACTGGACTGACACTATTGCACCTGATGTTCAACATCTTTGGTACATTGTTTCCACCATGGACATGGTTCAGATTATCGATAGCATTACACGGCAGAGCTCTCAGGACTTATCTACAGGGTCCACCATTGACCTTCTCTTTACACATCAGCTGCTGTTAGTGGAAGCCTCCACAGGACCTAATCTTGTTGGGAGCGACCACCTGGCCCTTGCATTCCATATCAGTGTATTAATCAGACCATCAAACCAATAGTTAGTCAGTTTTTATCATATAAACAGGGTGATTTTGAGCATTAAACAATCTTCTCAGTTTAGCTCCATGGAATTTGTTTATGGATGATGATAAAATTGATGATGTTTAGGAAGGTTTTCTTGATCTTTCCAATGCCATTCCTCACAAAAGACATACCGGTAGACCTGAACGGTCCTGCCCCTGGATTGACAATGATATAAAACACCTCATCCTAAAAAAGCGCACTGCAACAAATGACAAATAAACAATGGACAAATGAATGCTATGTAAGAAGGACCGTAATAAGGTTAAAGAAGCAGTGAACATTTCGTATTCAAGGTATGTCAATAAACTGTTCAGTGATAAATTTGACAACAAAAAACGCTTCTTTGCCTTTGTGCGCAGTCAAAGAAAAGATGAATTTCCATCATCAGCCATCAAGGTGCTACCATTCACAGTTCTGGTTTACATGTACCGTAATTTTCAGAATATAAGGCGCGGCTTGTACTTTGATTTTGCCTGTTAAGATGGTTGGAGCGGCTTGTAATCCAGGCAGCTTACATGTACATGTATATGCTGAGCTTTGAAGAATAAACTTGAGATTCATGTGTAGAAACACTAATCTGTTTTTGACAAAGTTTGCAAAAAACACTTGTTCCCTGGAAACATCGTAGGCCTAGATCAAAACAGAAAGGTGGAACCGGCCTGAAAAAGCTCGTGCAGTTGTAATGCCATAACCACAGAAGTTGAAAGTCAAGTTCCGGTTACCGAAAGTATAGCCACTGCATTCACAAATACAAGCTGAGAGTAATACGTGTAGCTTCCATCCTCATAATTTATAAATCATACTATCCACATACCCCGAAATTCACTGTAACAGAGAATAAGCAGATTCACAGTAATATTGTCCATAGAGCAAAAATGAATACTCATTGCTAGATGGTGATGCGTATGCTGGTTGGAATAAATGCATGATGACTTTGAAACGCAAAAACTCAGGAACGTGTGTTCTTTTTGCCCTGTGAATAAAATGGGTGCATGTTACTGTGAAACTGCTTATTGGTGTACAAGTAGGTACATGTACACATAGGTCTGAGCAGTAGGTACAAGTTGGCTTGGGTACGAGTTGGCCTAGAGTTGACTCGGTGACTTGGACCGTTGCCTTGAAAAGTGGCCATCATCTCTTCTTTTTCAAGTTCCATGTTTCTGTGGCCCAGTGAAGTTTTGAGCATAAACCTTTCATCAATTTTTGTGTAAACTTTGGTCAGATCTTTCTGGATTACATGATGTTCATCAGACGGTTGGCAGTGAAGGGGAACATTGCAGCTCAAGAGCAGAAGGAGAACACACTCACTGCAGCTCACATCAGCTCTGTTCTTAAGGTGAGATTCATTTTGGGGTCACTGGGGTATTTTCTTAGCATTACACTAAATTTGGATAAAAAATATAAAATTACCACACAGTAACAAATTACCCTACAGTAAATGCCATTGCCAACTTCCGGTTCCTTTTCACTTTTGAGGCATCTTTCAAAAGCTTCAACTGTAGTTTCATGTTCCGTTTAGTGTCTGTTACCTGTGGACATTAAGTCCATACCCCTAGATGATAAACATGGTACAGGTACGGTACATGCCAGTGAATATGAATGGTTTTGCAAGTCAAGATACATGTTTGTCTCCACAAAAGAGACCAGTTTCTCCCAGCATGTACATGTTTTTTTGGAAAGCACAGGAATTTGGTAGGTTTTCATCAGCTTCTCAGTAGTCCAACAAAAATTTGTCTTGAACAATTCATGTAGATGTGATTCACCTGTTCGCCATGGATTGTTTGCAGTTGTGAGATGGATATTTGTGTATGCACAGTGACAAGTTCATTTTCAAGAATCCAAATGAAATCTTGCTGATGTGAATGCCTGAGATGTCAACTGTGTAGTTCAACAGTAGCTTCTTTGATGCAGCTGTTACGGTGACAAACTGAACAGTGAACACTGTGAATGCTAAATAGAGCACAAAACCGAAGTGGGATGTTACATTTGCCTTTATACAAAAGGAATGTCTTGCATATCAACATGTCTGCAAGTACATTACCATGCTGCTTTGGTTGTGCGATCTATTAGTAGTGTTTGGAGGGGTAACCATTCTTTAATTCTGATTGGTTAATTCCTCAAGCCCTTTACTGAACCTGTGAATGGATATTGCCAAAGCAGATTTCTTGCATACCAACTTGATGAATTTGTATTCTTTCTTGACCTCAGGATGTACTCAAAGAAATGAGAGGATAGCATAGACTCTACCAGCATCATGAGCATTTGCCATCCTGTGGTGTTGATCACGTACATG